TTCAACTGTTTTCCCTACACTTTCTTCTAGTATTTTTATGGTTTCATGTCTTAAGTTTAAATCTTTAATTCAGTGAGAGTCTATCTTAGTTAATGGTGAAAGGTGTGGGTCCAGTTTCAGTCTTCTACAGGTTGCCAGTTCGCCCAGCACCATTTGTTAAATAGGGAATGTTTTCCCCACTCAATGTTTTTAATTGGCTTGTCAAAGATCAGGTAGTGGTAAGTAGCTGGCTTCATCTGTTGGCTCTCTGTTCTGTAGGCACAGGGTTTTGAGCTTGACTCCACAACTGTATGAACTTGAGCGAGTCAGTGACTCTTTCTGGTTTTGAATTCTGGCTCCACCTCTTATCACTTGTGCCATCACGGTCAAGGTATTTAATCTTTCTTAAATTATATTTATTTATAGATGTGTATGAATAAAATGCCTATCTCCTTAAAGCCATTGTGAGGTTTTCTAATTTTTTTTTTTCAGTTTGGCTGGGGCCAGGTTTGAACCCCCCACCCTTGGCATATGAGGCCAGTGCCCTACTCACTGAGCCACAGGTGCCACCAAAGCCATTGTGAGGAATAAATAATATTCACAATGCACTTAGCATCTTGTCTAGGACATAGTATGTGCTCAATAAAGGGCATCCCTTATTCTCATCATTTATAACGGAGGACTAGTGATATCTACCTACTCCTCAATGTGGATGGGAAGGAAATTGAGGGGAAACCATCTGAAAACAGAAAGTGCTCTATGGGAGTGAAGCAACAGAATTTGTTTTTAGCTTTGTCTAGAAAGAGCAAACCTCATGAGTGACTGGATCATTAGGAAGCTCAACTGAGACAAAAAAAATAATTAGTCAAGAATCAATCGTGAGTTAAAAAAAACTCAAGAATCATCATTTGTCAAATTAGGTGTCTGTCTAAATAATTATTTCAGTTAAATGCTTTTTTTTTCCTTCTAATTGAAACTGGTGTCTTTGAGGCAAGAAAGTAAAAGCAGAATTAAAAGAATCTATCCTAGCCGCTCTGTGTAGGCCTCAGCCAAGCCGCAGGCGTTTCTGCGGTCTGCGTGTTTCTCCCCTGACATACGTGGGGCCTAGATTGTAACCTAGTAACTTCTTTGGGTTTCTGTTGCCTTTGGGGCAGGTGGTCCGACCAGTCTCAAGGACGTGGGTGAATCTGATCTTCCCCCTTGAGCCCGGGACCTTGAGGATGATGTCATGTCTCTGTCTTATGACCCTCATGTGCACTCCCGCCCTGAAAGGTGGATAAAAGAGAGGCAAGAGATTGAGTCGGGGGGCTTGGTTTTGGGAAACACGCTGGTGTTCTGAGTACCCCTGGCCAAATAAACCCGCTTCCTCTAATCAACTGGTGCCTGGAGTCTTCTGTCTGCGTCGGTTTCCTGCTACATCTTTACACACAAATGGCCTCACTCTGGTATTGCCCGAAATCAACTGGGACGTCTAACAGCTTAGGTTTAATAGAAAGTCCTGTAGTCACCTGGAATTGCTTTATTTGGTATTTTTCTAAGCCATGGGGTGCAATAGTCCCTTCTCATTATGGTGGTCTTGCTATTCATAATGGGGCGTACAGGGACATTAATTCAGATCTTTAAGAATCTCCCACATCTGCAATGTTCATTTGAAAACGGAATTCTAAGCAGCTTAGGACTAGAGATAAGGCCTGACATCACTTTGCTGATGGGGTGGTAGAGCTGTGCTTTTCTGCGGGTCCCTGGACAGTCAGGAGAGTCCAGAGGTTAGAAAACCACAGGAACACAGCTGGGGGACAAGTGAGCAAAGACGTATGTCCTAGGGGGTTTAACCGAGTGTTGTGGATAGAAACAGGGACGTGGTAGAGTAAATTATGACAATGAAAAACCCTGCAGTTTGTAGTCTAGGAAAGGGGAGGGGAAGAGGGGAGGGTGACTGGCACGAGGAGGGAGGGCATTTGGTGGGATCTCACCTAACGTGCACAATGCCAGGATATTTAGCACACCCTCCTGGGTGAGGGGCTCTCCTGTAACTTGAACTTTAAGAGGCAGAATTTTTGAATATTAAAAGTTTTTTTTTCCTAAGTGCTTAGCCATGTTTTCTAAGTTTTCTACAATGAAATAATTGTATTGCTTATTAGAATTTCATAGTAAGGAGAAAGTGAACAAAATTGAAGGATGAGGAGTGAAAGGTATGGGAGGAATTTAGGGAGAGAATAAGCCAAGCTGAGCATGATGAACAAACCATGCAACTACCATTTTTGGAGATGATGTTCCTTACCTGAGAAATACGCAGTTAGGATTAGAGCAGAGGATTTCTGGGGGAAAAACCAAATCTGCTATATTCCTAGGGTGGGGTATATTAGGACACGATGGTTGTCCCTCCATAGTCCTTCTCCCCACTTATTATTGTCATACAAACTACGTTTTTCTAGGTACATGGCTACCTGGTATCCTGGAAACTTTTTGCAGCCTCCCTGGCAGCTAAGCTCTGGCCAGCGGGGTGTAAACAACCCTTAGACAGTGTCCTTACACAGAGAGGCAGACTTTCCTTTCTTCCCTTTGCCCAGTGTATGGAATGCAGATGTGGGTCCTGGAGCTCCAGCTGCCTTCCTGAATAATAAGGACAAGGGCCACACCTGAATGGGGAGGGAAGGCCTCCAGGTTGCAGCGCTGCCACACTCATCCTGGGCTGTGTCACTTCCAGATATTTGTGTGAGAGCTAAATAAACTTCCACTGTGCTTAACGCATTGTTCTTTCAAATTTGTGAAAGGAAGAAAAAAGAAGAATCCAAGCCCCCTCGGCTTTGCGTAATAATGACAATATCAACAGCTAGTTTTCAGTGAGGGTTTCTTCCCACGTGCAGGATCCTGCCCTAAGCATCTACAATACAGTTTATTTAATTCTCACAATAACCTCTGAGATGAGTGAGACTAACCTCGTTCTAATTCCAATTTTTGGATTACAAAACTGGGCATCAGAGGAAGTTAAGAGTTACCACGTTCACCAAGCTAGAAGTGGTAGATTTAGGATCCGAATTTACGTCTGTCCTCAAGCCCAAGCCCTACTGAACCCCTGTTTCTCCAAATAAAGTCTGTGGTTTGCCTGTATCAGAGACCAGGGAGACATTAAAAATGCAGCCCAGGGCTCGGCGCCTATAGCTCAACCGGCTAAGGCGCCAGCCACATACACCTAAGGTGGCGGGTTCGAATCCCCAGCCCAGACCC